TATAGCACTTAGAGGCATTGACTCAAGAGATACTATAAGCGTATCTTTGTTCTCGAGAGCACATGTATTTGGAGTTCGAGAACCGCAGGTAAGTAGTAGAAATCAGCAATATCGACAGCATCATTTATTGTACTCGTTTATCTTTTTCCAATTTACTGATTTGTCTTCTTTTCCTGCAGGACAAATTGCTTGTAAGGAATGACCTCCTATATGGTTGGCAACCTTTAAAAGTATCTATTTAAGGGGGCAATACTTTTAGAATCTTAAAAAATTACAAAATTTTTTTTTCTATAAAATGTTAGTGTAACATCTTGAAAATATTGTCTCAAAATTTTGAAGTGAAATACGAAGCCCTTTTGAAGTTATGGCCGATTAGCGTCGCGAGTATCCACGTGTTCCGTGCGGAGGACTGAAACTTTAAACGCGTGTTTCTCAAAACTACGTTCTTAAAATTGGCGTGGCTCGTAACTCAAAAACTAGTTTATCAATCCCGCTCAAATTTTTTGCACTTGTCCATGACAATACTATCTAACATATAAACCTAAATGTATGAAATAAATTAAACATTAAAGTCCTTTTTTATTGCAAAATATTGCAAAAATTTGCAATAAAATTCAAAGTTTTTCTTTAAAAGCGCGCCATTTCTTCAATTTTACATATTTTGCACATTTCTGAGGTTCATCTACTAACTGTGAATGTTAGTTTTCGAAACATTGTCTGCAAACTTGCTTCAGACCAATATATCTAAAGCTAGAACCCACGCCGATTCACGAGACACGTTAAAACACTTCCATAAAGAATTGTCATAATTCCGGCATTTTTAAATATTTTGCAAAAGAGAAAATATTCTGTAATAGGCAATAGTTATAATAAATTATACTTGAAATTTCGAAAATACAAAACAAAGGTGTCCTATACAAAAAAATTCACAAATATCAGCTTATTTTCATATGGCTAAAGATATTGTCCCCCTTAATTGTTTGTTATATGTATACGCGATTGGGGAAGTAGTCCCACGAGCGGACTGTGCGACGCGGTCACGAAGATCGCCGGAGATACCCGAACAGTACCGAGCGAAAACCGCGCGAGAATTCGATCGTTATTTGCTTTATACCGCGTCTTCCCGCTCGGCCATGCGTTGGCGTCGTTCTGCGTTTACTACACGTCTTGTTCACATCGTTGTTGAATAAAGTTATTTGTTACAAAAAGTGTTCATTGGTCTCCTCCGCCCAAACACAATAGTATAAATAATAGTTTAAAGTGTATTAAAATGTTACAGTACGATGTGTTTCATAATTTAATATTAAGATAAAGCAGATGACGCTCGTTTTCAAGTCACAAATTTATGTGTCCTCGAGAACAAAGGCAAGATTAATCTTATTATATTTGTAGCTGATTTAGGTATTCAGTGCCATCTAGTTTTAAACGTGATCGTCTTACCATGGAATGTAGAACTGCGTTACGATGAACCTGTATTTCCACAATTACTCGTGGTCCATATGGAATCGTGGTATATATGGAATAGTGCTGGGCATTTAATACTAATAGTAAAGCTATCGCGATACGTTGTTGAACAAAAATAAACATGTATTCGAAAATAATTGTCGATGGGAATTAAAATATCTCCTAAACTAATGATTTTTTCACATAAATAGATTAATACTTTTTTGTAAAGGAGTATCAGCTGATGCAATAAAAAATATATGATTCCATTCAAAAAAACATTAATGACCTTCATATGTCCTTCACACGTCCACCTATAAAAAAAAATATGCCATCAGCATATGCCCCTCTCAAAACCATTCAACTTCATCTGGAACATTGTTTGCTACGAGTAATAATAATGACGCAAGTCTAGATGGCAAAATGTGGTGAGCCCCCTATATGTCCTCAGAATTGACAATTCGGTTCAGGTCGAAGGTAATAATACTATTATGACAATTGAATAAAAAATGGGAAACAGGATGTATAATAAAGGACGATTTTTGGCTAGGCAAAGAATACTTGTGAAATTGTACATGCAACAAAATGTTTATTTATTGAATCAGTTTCAGATAGGATATCTACCTGTTGCGTCGAATTCAAAAGTGAATGAAATTTCGTTCCACCATTATATCTGATTATTATAAACTGTAATTTTTAAACTTAAAGGGAAATCTTGTTTAGAATCTTTACCACCCATTTCCGGGACCTACACTAGTTGTAAGACACTATGCATACTCAAAATATCAAACGTACTTGAAACAAAAGTTAATATTTCATACGGAAACAAATGCAAAATAAATACAGGATTGAAAAAATCCTTCATCACAGTCTTTATAACGTGATTCTACACTCTTGAATCTATGAACATTAATAAACAAAAGTGATCATAAAATTCATCTTGATATCTAAATTCAAGTTCAATTTTTTATTGTCATATAAGGTAAGAGCACCAGTAGTTGACACTGTACTAGTACTTGACACTTTTTCAAAAAAAGTAAATAAATAAGGAAACCACAAGTTGGAATACATCAAACATTATTAATCTGTATACTGTCATGCTTAAGCAATTGCGAACTATTGTGCATATCCGCCATTCAAAAATGTAATAGCAACTGATTAATAAAACTTGGGCACGGCTCTTACGATTTATCAGTGATTTCTTATATAAATCGCTAAGGATTCGGTTAAAATGTAAGTATTGCAAGTTCGTATTATTTAATTATTGCGAGTAAAAAAGACATTCGTTTATGTTGTTTGAAACTTAAAAAGAGGTTTATTTATTAAAATTGGCAATAAACAATGCTAAATTGTCTAAATACACTCCGTGTTAACTACTGAAACTTGTAATGGTCTATTATTCAGTAGTTGACATGGGGTGTCAACTATTAAATTACTACGTATCAACTACTGTCTTTGTTCCTTTGTCAACTTTGAGATGCCTCCTACGAAGGGTAACTTCAGAAATTATACAGAAGAGACTATGCAAGCGGCTGTGGAAGATGTCCGGTTCCATAAAACTCCATATAAAACGGCAGCTAGGAAATTTAGTGTTGCGAGGGTAACTTTAAAATACAAGGTTGAAGGCAAACATCCAATTAAAAGAAAAATGGGTCCAGCTAGAGTATTGACTGATGCAGAAGAAAATGCAATAAAAAACTGATATGAGGATACCTCCGATATGAGGAGTGTTCGAACTCTTCATACTAAATATTTGTTATTAACTCTTCATATTAACCCTTAATTATTAAATATTATTTTGTGAACTTACTCAAGAATACATTTTTAAATGTTCAAAAAATTCTGTATTCATACATTATCAAGACTAGTTTATTAATTGGATTTTCTTCCTATGTCAACTACTAAAACAAAAAGATGTCAATTACTAAATTTTCTGTTTTCGCTGAGTATTTTTGTTTGGAAAAAAAAAAATTTACCATCGTCATAAGGAATGAATACTTGTTGTAATACATGGTGTGTTCCGAAAGTAATGCAATCGAATTTCCCGCGCCGCTCCTTTTGGTCGGAGGGGGATCGAGCCACTTGGGCTAGGTAGGGGCGACCCTAAGCTTTCCAACGAAACCGGTCCCAGGGCTCTCCGAGCTGTGAAAGGGATAGGACGTGAGTTTTTGTGAACCTCTGCGCGCTGACCGTGTCACGGAAAAAATGCAGTCGTCGATGGAGCAACGATACGCCATAAAGTTTTGTGCGAAATTAAACAAATCTCTTGAGGAGACAAATATAATGATTCGTGAGGCTTATGGGGACTCTGCTCTATCGTACTCACAAATTTCGAGGTGGTTGAAGGCCTTTAAGGAAGGCCGGGAAGAAGTTCACGACGATCAACGCTCTGGGCGGCCGTCAACCAGCAAAACCGACAGCAATGTGACTCGTGTTCGAGAACTGTTGAACTCTGACCGTCGATTGAGTATCAGGATGGTTGCCCATGAACTGAATTTGTCGTCTACCGTTGTGTTCCGCATTGTTACTGAAGATTTAGCGATGCGGAAAGTGTGCTCCAAACTCGTGCCGAAAGCGTTGTCAAGTGACCAAAAAGCCAACCGAGTGGAAATTTCAAGTGAACTTTTGCAACGTCTTGAAATTGAACCAGATTTTTTGGACAATGTCATCACTGGTGACGAAACGTGGGTTTTTCAATATGATCCGGAAACAAAACACCAAAGCTCTGAGTCGCACACGAACCAGTCCCCGAAGTTCAAGAAGGCAAGAATGAGCAAGTCGAAAGTGAAAACAATGCTCATTGTTTTTTTCGACAGCAAAGGTGTAGTCCATAAAGAATTTCTACCTGAGGGACAGATATTCAACGCTGCCTACTACGTGGATGTACTGCAAAGACTCCGAAGAAAGGTCTTAAGGACAAGAAAAGACATCTCCGCTACCTGGATCCTGCATCACGACAACGCGCCTTGCCGCAATGCGTTACGAGTCCGTGAATTCCTGACCCAAAACCAGATGTTGACGCTGCCCCAACCTCCCTGTAGTCCTGACCTCGCACCGGCAGACTTTTTTTTGTTCCCTCGGATCAAAACACCCCTGAAAGGAATCCGTTTTTCGTCGATAGAAGACATTCAATCGGCCGTGACAAACGCCTTGCAAGAGGTCCCGGAAAACGCCTTCCAGGCCGCGTACCGGTCGTGGCAGGATCGCTGGAGAAAATGTGTGGAGGCCCAAGGGCAGTATTTTGAAGAACATTAAGTGTTGGTAAGAATTGGTACAATAAATTCCTTTCTTTAAAAATAATTGCATTACTTTCGGAACACACTCTGTATAATAGAAGAATAGTTTGTTCAGCGACTGCTAATCATAAATTTTCCATAAATTGAACTTAATCTGAGCTATGTGAACAAATAGACAAAAATTCCTTAAAGTGTCAACTACTGGTAACTTTACTTTACTAATCATTCAGGGAATAACAAGTCAGAACAGTTCTCCCTTGGAGAATGATAAGAAATTCTTCGTGCAATGTACTAAATGAAACATAAAAAAGTAAAAATTACCGATTCTTTCTTCAACGATCTCGCATCTGTTTCTTCTTCGTCACTAGACGATTCACTTTCGCTCAGATCCGAGCTAAAATAACACTCTCCGGACCCGTACTTCGTGAAATAGTGAACCACTGCGAACTGTATAATGGTGGCAAAAATGAAGGCAAACGATAGAAACACAAAGAAGTCCAGGGCAGTGGGATATGGAACTTTCGGCAGATCGGTTCGCGCCTCCAATCCTAGAAACGTCATTGTCAGCACGGTTGTTATTCCTGAAACAAATACGACCAAACGCACTATTTAATTGGACTATAATTGTATACTTTTATTTAATATAGACATTAAGCTGTATGAATGAGACGAATGAGACAATATGGGAGGGAAGGAGAGGTTATATTGTCTTTTCAAAACACGGGACGTTTCATTAACATTTTTTTTATATTTTTCAGGGTCAAATGCAACATTGAACTTGTACAAGGCGTACAGTTGACGATGTAGGACACAAAAGTGGATTTTTATTAAACGCGTAAAGAAAATGAATTGAAGTTTATCTTTTATAATGTAAAATATAGTATACAGAATGATTATAACATAACAGGACGTTATACTACAAAATTGAAAGTATACATGCACCACAATATTACAATATATATTTATGAAATATGTAACTTATGTAGAATTTGTATTTATATGTATTTCCATGTCATATCATATGCCGTTAAAAATGATAAAATGTGGTTCATTGATGAATACTATAGTTTATGAATAGAATATTGCTATCAAATTTTAATATTTGATGTATAACTAGCTATCATTTAATTTGTATACATATAATACTCATGTGTACTTTATGTACTTTAATCTACTGATTATGAATGTGCAAATTATATTTCTTCTTTCTCTCTAATTTTTGAACGATTTGATTTTGTAAAAAGAATTTATATTTTTACCGCCCAAACGAATTATTTAATATGAGTTACAGGTTAATATAAAATATATTTAAGTTTATTCTATTATATTTTTGTGAATGTTATTTTTTTAATATATTGTACAAAATATTTGATAAAAAAATAATATATAGAACTATACTACAATATATGTGTATGTATAATAATATACTATAATAATATACCTATAATAATATACTTCGATAAAACAATAAAAAAGTTAACACTTAATAACAATTGAAGTCATTGTGGCAAATTTTTTATTCCTATTCATTGTACATATTGTCAATTTATATTATTTTTATTTGTTAAGAAGTTATTGAATTTATATTTAAATTAGATGAATGCTACTTTATACAAACCAGTCGCAATAAATATGAAATCATTCTTTCCATTATGATATTTAATGCGAAATAAAGGAACGAGTACATTTACTATTATTTTGAATCCTGGTTTCTTATCTCGATTAAATAATGAAATAAAAAGATAGAAGCAGGTTACAAACCGTCGCCACAGACAGAATTTAGATATTCATTAAGGCGTCCATATAGAAATATAACTATGATCAAAAAATTAATATACTTGTAACATTTTAAACATTGTCATGAAAATGAAATATCGGTGCTTTGTTAAAAAAATAAGGTAAAAAATGTTATTATGTAAATAAATATGCAGTATTTAGAAGCGGGAAGGGAATGGCAATATATTATTTTTGTTAAATAAAGTGTTTAGGTAGCAGGAATTAAAAGGAAGTATATTATTTTTCTTAAATAAAATATTTAAATTTTAATGAAATTTACTAGATTACATTGCGATAAATATAAGATCAGACATTTATTTCAAACATTACGTATAGGAAGATGAATTGAATTCTTGAAGACTTCTACAAAATAAAAATACACAATTTCCACATTATTTTAGATACTATATAATTTTATTTAAACACAGACTTACCAAGTGAAACACGATCTGCAGTGGCTTCTCTGTTTAACCAGAAAGATACCCAGGAAAGAACAACTAGCAAAATGCAGGGTCCGTATACTTGTATGAGAAAATTACCCATGTGCCTTTGTAGATGAAAATATACCAGTAGCATCGAGTACTCGGCTAAAATCAGGCAATATTTTAAATACATACTAAAAGTTATATTTTCTGTGATGTTATAAAAAAGACTATGTTATTTACACAATTGTATTATATAATCTGTTTTTTTATTAAATTTTCTGTTGTTATCAGAACATATGAATTTTATAGACGTATATGTCTTTTTTTAATTTTGTTTACTAATAAAGCAGAAAATCTGTAGAAATATTTCTATCTTCGTACCTACTGAATTTATATTACTGATACATGGTAACTCTTAACACTAGAGCTACCAACTAGTCAAAATGACTGGTTTCAGATTTCTCATTTTATATTACAAAATTTTATTGTCGTGATTTTATGGAAATGTTTGTGATATTTTGTTGAGGTAACAACTAGTTCTATATGTTACTTGATACTTTAATATTTATTTATTTCCTATTTCATTTTATTTTTCATTCTTCGATAAACGAGCATTCAATGTTGGTAAATCTACCAGGAGGTTTTGTCTGGTATCGAATTAAAAAATTATACTTTTATACATATTTGTATTTACTATTTACTGGGCAATATAATTTACTAATGACCTCTTTCCAGCGAAATGGTGATTGGTGGATTCCATTTACAATGAAGGACTCAAATAGTAAAATTATTGAACAGAACTTTCCCGTAGACCCAATATACATATACATTTTGAAATGGTTATCGGGAAAATTACATGGTATGTAATTCGATTTTCGGTTAGTATATTACTAATTAAAATATAAGTAACTATATTCAGGGATCGTTTATAATACAACTTATAATTGCACCTAAATTTCACGTTGAAGATATTCACAATTTATGTAAGGTTTGTCACATTTGAACTGTAAGTACGTCACGAGTGAGACTCGTCAAAGCAGAGGTTAAATACCGACAAAAATGAAATAGATAAAGTAGCAATAACAAATAAATTCCGAAAGCGTTAATTCTTTGAGTGATTTGTCTGCACTATGTCATCACGTCAAATAGATGTTTACTTCTAGTTGGTGTGTAGCTAAAAGATTGGAAAACTCTATGGTTGGTCAGGCTTGTTTGCGAAGCACTGGTCGATGCTAATCCAATTAAAAGCCGAAGTTCCCGTAACTGAACGTTTTCGGCTTCTCTTTCCCTTTCCTCGAGTATAGAATGAAAATGCAAGAGGAACGAGTTCTCTGACGGAGGATACTGCAATTAGTCGCCTTTTCTCCTGTGCCCATCTTTCAACGTTGTAAACCTCGCCTCCCCTTTGCCCGTTTCCTCACACCACTTGCTGGCTGCTCGAGTCTCTCCCACTACTTCCAGTGCACCCTCGTTCCTTGATATTCGTGTTACTAAAACTTTCGAATCGAGTTCTTTTGCGATCGTTAGAAGACCATTCCTTTGCTTCCTCCATTTCTTCTTTGACTCTAACGACCCTTAATCATTCATGTTCCTTGATTCGAACGACCCTTATTCATTCATGTTCTTTCTTTTGAACGACCCTTAATCATTCGTGTTCTTTCATTTGAACGGTGTTACATTTAGTACTGTAGCGGTTGAGTTCGCAAATTTTATTCGAGAGTTTTGGAGGTCTTTGAAGAATCAGACTTATTCGAACGTTTTTGTGTAGGCCCTTGTTTTGCCTGCTAGGAATTTCTTTGATATGTGCATATATCCAATGGTCGAAGAAAGTTTGGAAAGCAGCTGACTCTCGAACGAAATCGCGCTTTTTAATCCAGTTCTTGTTCGCAATTGAAGTTACGACTTTTAGTTATTATTTGTTATCGTTTTTGTTATTGTTTAGTTAAAATATATTTCTGCTGTTTATTAATCGGAGTAAAATTTACTCACTGTGCCTCACGTTATCCTAAAGTTTTACAATAAAACCTTAATATAAATGAAACTGTTATACACGATATAAGTGAAAAAAATTAATCTTATTATAGCGGGTAGAATTTCTTGATATGTTAGAAAGTTAATTTGCTGAGAAATGTAATGTCATCTATGGTCATCCGTGAAACAATATTGATGTGAAGATAAAACTTTTATATTTTTAACTACTTTTTCTATTTTAACTATTTTTCGTTTAGTTACAATTAAAGGGGTTGGTAGTTCTTAGGCAGCAGTCAATGGTATAATGTCAGTCTAAAAATGACGATAAATCAACAAACGGTTAAATTACGAGATGTCATGCATTTACTAATTTTATCAACAACACTATGTAGCATAATCTAATCTTTTGTTCAAGATCATATAAATTCACAAGATATTTTTACAGATTTTTATACGCTGACTCGAAATTTGTAAACCATGTTCAGTCCCTAGCTATAATTTAAAAAAGACTAGATTTTAAAAAGAAGATGAAAATTTTCGGCCTGGAAAATATATGCTTGTTGTTAACAATAATTATTTGGTACTTTTTAACACGAAATTATGTTATGAGTTCTCTTGAATAAAATGATAACGGTTAATGTTATCAAATACAGTGGGTAACAAAAGTAAGTAAACACTTAGAGCTTGTGGCAAAAAAACATTTGTGTCAAAGCAAATATGTAACTTCAAAAAACAAATTGTATATCTGCTGAAACTACATGAAATAATCTATATAATTATGCTGATAAAATATTCATTAGTGCTGGATTTTCTCGTAAAAAATAATAAAGATTCACGGTATGCAACGAATACACGTTCCAAAAGTAAGTAAACACGACCGGCATTGCTCAATAACTTTTTAATACTTGCAATTTTGCAATTTATTTATAAATGACACTTATAGATTATTTCATGCCGAATCTGAATTCGTAAACTATTTCTTTGTAGTGGTTATCGTTTTCGAGAAAATTTGACTTAAAGGAAAATTGTAAATTTTCAACTTTGGAAATGTTTCACGGTCTTATAGTTGCTTTTATTCATTTTATTTTTATACCAAACTATTCTGCAAATTCTCTTGAATAAAATGATATGAATTGTGATAAAATTGTAATTATTTAATTATGTTTTAATGCCAATGGAAGTGAAGAAGAAACCCAAGACTCGCCGATGTCTGCTGATGTTTTTTAATTTATTTCAACGACTAAGAGTTTCAGAAAAATTCTAA